CAGCGGTCTTCATCTGAAAGTCAGTGAGGGCCTCCCTGCATTACAAGGGAGGTCGTCTTCCTCTCTGAGGCAACGATCCTCATGCCTCTCCACATTCCAGTGCGAGGCCAAAAGTCCTAACGCGTTGGCTCACAAGAGCTCTCGTCAAGTCTGTGGCATCACAGGCAGAGGCGTGTAGCTGCCATCGGTCCGTCCAGAATTTATAAAAACTTTCAGTAGCACCTCGGCTCTCAGGTGGCGGGGCCTCCACCAAAGTTGTGGCCAGAGGCTTCTCCCTACCGGCAAGGAAGCTAGGAGACTTCTCTTGCACTCGAGCAGGCTTCTGTTTGGCAGCCTCCTCCTCACCCACCTCAGCTTACCTCCTTGCAGCCTCTTCCCTTGCTTCTTCAGCCTCGACACGTCTAACCATTTCAATTTTAACTGCTTTCGAGGTGGCTTCCAGTAGCTTCGGCTGCCCGGCTTCTTTGCCTTCATGGGACACAAAAGTCCCAAATTTGCCATACGAGCTGGAGACGTGCACCAACTTCCTCTTCTTCGGTTTCTTAGGGACTTTCTCCTTCCCCCGAGGCTCCTTGGACTTTTCTGGCCTCTGAGGGGTCCCCTTTTCGGAAGCCCGCGATGTGCTGTCCTTGGAGAGACGCTCCACTCTGCCTCGGACCTCCTTGGCGCTAGTTGACCTCGGTTTTAGGGGCCTCATCTTCATAGTAGAGGTTGCCTTAAGTATGGACGCCATGTCAGGAATTGAGTACTCTTTCCTCTTAAACTTGTTTGTAGAACACAACGCGTCTGTATCAAAATGAAAACACAAAAATATACAAGTGTGGGAGCTTCGTACCCTTGGAGGCCATTAGCTCCAAATCGAGGAAATAGTGACTTCTGTCGATAAGGTGGCCAAAGTGGCGAAGCTTCAGAGGTCTCTTGTAAATGTCCTTTATCATCTCAAACTCCTCCCTGCTCAGCTCGAACCTCGTACTATTATCTGCAAAGGACGCTTCAGCAGTTAGAAAAATAAACTTTTTAATACAAATTACAAACTTGGGTTGGAGACTCACGAGCTTCGTAGTATTGGGTCAGTACTGTGCAAGCTAGGGCTTTGTCCCCCTCCACTGCCTGCCACCTGCCTCACACCCAGAACTACAACTCCTTCCACCCCTTGATGGAAGAAGGCAGTCCCACCACAAATTGTGCATTCGCCCTCCACGGAATTAGGTAATATCGCCCCTTCGACTCCTTCCCTATTACCCTAGGCTGGAACAGGGTCATGAAGATGTGGAGAGGCATGTCTTCCCCAAGTGATACTTCCTTCCACAGGAAGTACGAGCCGACCAACTGGCTCCACCCGTTTGGCGAAACCTGGATCAACGATAGCATGAAGTTCCTCAGCACCGCCCTAAAGAAGGGGTGCAGAGGAAGACGCATACCTGCCTTAAATAAGTATACACTCACCGTCACACAGTCGGGCCTCGGATAACAGGCCCGCTCATGGGCTTCGGAAACTAACATTTTCACATAGTGAGGCACACAGTACCTCTCTCTAATCTTTCCCAGCCTCTTCCCTGTCATATTTGAAGGCACCCTAGACGCCACCCACTCTTCGCTATAGTCTACTGGCTCCTCGGTCATAGCATATCTATCCACCTCGGAATCCCCCCTATGACTGACCCCATGACCCAATGACGCTACAGTGACCAACTCTCTACTCGAAGTGGACTCCATCTCAGAAATGACTAAGAACGCAGTAAAAGGAGAATTTTTTGTGAAAAATACCTACTGAAAACTACGCGAATAGAATGTGCCGAAAAATCAGTGAATGGACAGCCTCAATGTCGAAATGTTTAAGTTCTAAGAGAGGAATTTAGATTGCAAGTGCTGGAAAATCCAGAAAAAGGGAGTTCTCTCGCTTTTTATAAAGGGTCAGGACGAACCCCCACCGTCATATCGAAGCTCATTCAATTTGGACCCTTCATTTTAAATCAAATCCGAGGCGTAGAATTCAAAGGGTTTTCAAACCTACGCCTCAGATTTAAGCGTGTCTCCCACGTACCTCATCCAACGTGTCTGCTTCTAGAAGCTCTAGCTGTTCTAATAATTATGATTTTAATTTGACGACAGTAGGCGCCTTGGAAGTTGCAACGGTTCAGCCACCTTTCCTCGGAAACATGCGTAAAACATCAAATCATTGGCACAACTGCCAAGGAACAATTATTGTCAATGAACCTCGGCTTCGTCGTCAACATTCAGCCATCAAGCCTCGCAGGTTCGATTTCCTAACCACCTCGACTTCATCTTCAACATACAGCCATCAAGCCTTGCAGGTTCGGTTTTCCAACCACCTCGGCTCATCTTCATCTTTCAGTTCTCACAAACCTCGCACATTCAGTTCATTCCACTACCTCGGCTTCTTCATCATTCACCCACAACAGCACATTTTCAACTCCAACCATGATATAAATATCTATACTTGGACTTAGGGGACTATTATTTAGGGTTCAAAAATTCTTTCAATTTTTATCCAACCTACTGGCTTTACTTCATTAAAATCCACGCATTACATAAATGACTATACTTGGACTTGGGGGACTATTGTTACGTGTTGTTATACTTGGCCAACCTACTTGGGCCTATGACCCACTCAATCCGAACCACGTGTCGCTCTAACCGAGGTGGCATGTATGGCCGAGGCCTATATACCGAGGCCTATGAAGATAGCCGAAACCCTAAAGCGGAAGTATTACGTGAGTGGCGAAAGCCCTGAATCTGATGTCGAAGCAGAAGCCTTCGAACCATGAAGGAACGTCTTCCATGATTACTTCTCCCAAGAGATCTTCTACATAAAGATCTTATCCGAATGATTGATAGAACGTTTGTCATAAGTGTACATGTCAAGTCTTGTCACTAGGATGGGGGCTCTGCATAAGCAATAAATGCGCAGCAAGCTAGCAAGTCAAGGATGATGCCTAGGATTGGATGTTTGGATTAAAGAGATGAGGCCATGTGTTATCTCATTTAAGGGCTGCCATTTCACATGTACCACTATAAATTATTCCCTTGTGTAACATTAAAGAACTAATGCAAGAATCAATACAAGAAACCACATTTTACTCTCTCTTTCATATTGTCTTGCAACACAATATGAGTTCATACATGTTTACATGCACATTCATGAGCACTGATTGATAATTATTGTACAGTCGGATTACGAACATCCTGTCGGATTCCTAACGTTCTCGTCCCGCGTCGTTGAGCTACTCTCATGCCCCTAATCCGTTCGTTCTACACCGTCCACGTGTCTTAGTGTGTATGACCTTCGCTCACGTGTGCGCGGGTGGGTTCGACATTTGTTGGCAACATTTTTTGGGGTCAATAAATGGTAATTCAAATTATAATTTTTTATTTAGTATTTTGCCATCATAACATGATGTGTCCTTTTACTTCCATGAAGTCGTAATCCATTTTTACCATATTTGCCATCAGTAATTTTGAGAGAAGAATGAAAAAACAAAATTGGAATTTCTATATCTATCTTTTTCCGATTTTTGTTAAATAAATAAATTCTTCTACAAGCGTGGTCTTGAATTGTCTCATAATTGAAATTTTATTTTTAATATTTTTTGTTAATTCTAAATTTTAAATTTAAATATTTCGAGCCATACTCTAAACGTTTGAGTTAACTATTTTAATGGTCACTGAACTTTGGTCTATATCTTTGATTGGTTATTGAAGTTTAAAATGTAGAGTTTTGATCACTGAACTTAGATCAATGTCTTCGATTGCTCACTGAACTTAGGTCCATTTCTTAGATTGTTCAGTGAAGTTTAAAATGTCGAGTTTTGACCACTGAACTTTGGAATATGCCGTATATTACTCACTAGCATAACTGTTGAACTTTGAAAAATATCGAACTTACAGTGAGTAATGTATAGCATTTTTCAAAGTTTAGTTAGTAATGTACAATTTTTTCAAAATTCAGTGAGTAATATGCAACATTTTTCAAAGTTCAGTGGTCAAAACTCGATATTTTAAATTTCAGTGATCAATCGAAGACATGAATCTAAGTTCAGTGACCAAAACTCAACATTTTAAATTTCAGTGACCAATCAAAGATATGGACCTAAGTTTAGTGACTATTGGAACAATTAACTCCTAAACTTTTGGATCGTAGGGAGAGGTTGATTTAGCCCAATTCACCCATTTGGCAATGTGTGTGACGGAATAAACTAACATGAATGATAGAATGTCAATTTCATGTCAAAACCTTTTGTCAGGAAAGGTTGAATCTACTATTTTTATTTCATTGGCGTCTACATTGCATAAAAATAGTCTCGAATTGCACAGATAAAGTGAATATACTTTGTCGCGATACAAAAACGATAGCCCTTTAGATCGTCTTAAAGCACGTTTAGTTGCAAAAAGGTACCATCAAATTGATGGAATGGACTACACTAAAACTTTTTCTCCAGTCATCAAACCAGGGACAATACGTATGATAATCACCATAGCTCTTGCTCAGGAGTGGTTCATTCATCAATTGGATGTGAAAAATGCCATCTTGCATGGTTTAATTTCTGAAGATCTTTACATGCTACAACCACCAGGAATGGCAGATCCTCAGCATCTAACACACATTTGCAAACTACAAAAAGCGCTTTATGGCCTAAAACAAGCACCACGTGTTTGATTTTTATCGATTTAGTGCATTTTTTCTTAAATATGGTTTCTTCCGGAGTCTACCTAACCTTTCATTATTTGTTTTTTCATTTGGATTCTGGCTCATTAATTTTATTCTTTATGTAGATGACATGTTGCTAACTGGTTCAACTCCAACACTTGTTTCAGATTTTATTTAGCAGTTAAGTAGTGAGTTTGCAATGAAAGATTTGGGGCCTATTAATCACTTTCTTGGGATGGAAATCACAACAACAATAAGTGGTCTTCACCTATCTCAGTCACATTAAGCACTGACCATACTTGAACGCACCAATATGGTTGATTGTAAGCCAATGAGTACACCTCTAGAAGCTAAAATGAAAACATCTTCCAATGATATCCTTTTGGAAGATCCAAGTTACTATCGAGAACTTGTTGGAGCACTACAATACGTTACACTTACTCGTCCTGATCTTTCGTATAGTGTTAATTATGTTTCTCAATTCATGCATGCTCCCACGATAACACATTTAAAAATGGCTCGACGTATTTTACGATATGTCAAAGGAACAATTGTACAATTTTCTTCACACACTACATTTGATCTGTTTGCTTTCTCCAATGTAGATTGGGTAGGGTGGACTACAACAAAGCGTTCAACTACCATTGCACATTCATTAGACGAAATCTTATCTCTTGTTTTGCAAAAAAGCAACATACAATTTCCCAATCAAGCACAGGAGCAGAAATTGCGCAATGGCAAACACAGTGGCTGAACTCACACGGATGTTCTTCATTCTCAAAGATCTTCGCATTACATCGTCATCTCCTTCCATAATCTATTGTGACAACCTTAGTGCTCTTCATATGATAGTAAATCCTATATTCCATGCACGAAGCAAACATATCGAGTTGGATTATCATTTTGTGCGCTAACGCGTTGCATGTGGACTACTTGTCACCCTATATATTTCCGTTGGTAATAAAGTTGCTGACCTCTTCATAAAGCCAATGTCAAAAGCAACTCTTCATAATTTTCGTCACTTGCCTCCTATCTCGGCAAAGTTTGCGCGAGGGTATTAACAACATATCAAAGCTCAGCCTATGGAGAGATAAGGATGCTTGAAATTCTTGGAGAAAAAAGGATGAAGACTCCCACAATCTAGCCTTAATCAGTGGAGAAAAGTTGGGCGATCTTGGAGATCTAATGGTAACAAAATCAAACCAACGAGATAATCCACTCAAATCTTCAAATAAGGAAAATAAGCGTGATGACCCAACAAACTCCAATTTATGAGGGATCCTCTGTTATCAAGCAAGCTGTCCTACCAATATCATCTTGGCTGTCAAACCAAAATCAGCCAAATTTCAAGGGATTGTTTATGAATTTCTGTTAATGTAATTGTGTTTAAATACTTCACTTGTATAGCCAAAGTGTTCATGTTGAAATTTAATAAAACTCTTCCAGCATTGTTCTTCCAAAAAAAAAAAAAAAAATCTCTCTCGGCTCAATTTTTCTTTAGATGGGCCCAATACAAGACATCCGATCGTATGGCTCCTTCTAGACTCGACCCATAAGATGAATGAGGAGGGAGGGCAGGGGGGGGGGGGGTTGTGGTCTATTTCTTATTAAAAAATATGAGTTGGAGATCAGAGAACGGGGAGAAGGTACTTCCCCCTCACTTTGCTGCGTGGTCTAGCGAAAACGGGCCTCCTCCTCTTGCTAGATCACACATTCGAACAAGAGGGGTACTCTTATATCTTCCTTGATGCTGCATGCAAGATAAGGGGCGATGTCGCCTTCAATAGTTATACCGCAGGTCCAATGTGTTGGACGTTTAACTACGGACTAACTTGTAAGCCTCATGTTGGGATAAATTAGAACTTGTCCGAGGAAGACATGGGCACTGAATCCTTCTTGAAATATTTAACATTTTAGAAATTACTCATAATCAAAACAAATTCAAGATTTATACTTAGGATGTGCTTCTCTCATTTATTGGAGAAAATTAAACATTGTTTTAAACTTTTGTTTCTTATTAACATCATGGTACTAATATTTTAGCGACCATATTAGATGTTAATTAAATGGGGTTTGAAATCAATTATCTAATTTTGAACTTTACTAATCCCCTCGTGCTACCCGCGAGCCATTAAACAAAAGGCAGATAGACCACGTGCCTCCTGCTCCAAGTCCATTTTTTCACAAAGGACTGCTCACCCACTTTTTGCCTCATTTGTTCTGTTTTCTTCCCCACATTACTTTGCAGTAACTAATTACAGTTAATTAATTATAGTTAATTACACAATTATGACTTTAGTGTAAAAATTAGCAAATTTTAAAATACTTCAAGAATCATAATTGTCTTTGGGGAGGATAAAAGGATCTTCTAGCGCGAAGACTCCCGACCCCGCCCTTATTTCAAGTGGTAGGATTTCTTACGTCTAAATTGTCAGAAAATTTACTCGCTTCCTCGACATAATTCCACAATGTATCCTATAATTAGATTTAAACAATCAATTTTACACCAAATCATTTGTTGCCAACACTGCATCTGTCAAGTAGGTGGGTAGGTTTTTCCGTTAAATGGACTTAATCCTGCGTATAATGACCCTCATCTTTTAGTTATTCTTTTTATGGTAAGTGTTTCATAAAAGTAAATCACTTTTTATTTATAACTTCACAAATATTATTTAGTTATCATTGATAGTTTATTTTTATCTTTTTATAAACATAAATGCTACATAATAAGTCAAATTTGAAAATAAATAACTTGCTAACAACTTTCTTTTACCATTATAGTTTATTCAAGTACACGAGCACAAGAGCATACATACATATTTATACTCTTACTAACTCGATCTTAGACCCTTAAGTGTCATGACACAATCTGTTGGTCCATATCATATTTTGTTGCGTAATTCTTGATATAATTTTTTTCTCAAATTCATTTTTATTATATGAATTGTCGACGATACATTCTTTCAATAAAAATAATTTTACATTCATATTCAGAAAAATTAATTTTCACAACTTTTATTCTCAAAAATTCTATATTTTTTCCTCCGAATTTTGACCCCTCTCCTCTAAATCAACTCAAAACCATACGAAGAGTCGCATAACCAGAGAGGGACGCAAGGCTACATTGAAGAGCCAAAACCAAAAGCCTGTCCCTTTCAGCTGCCCAAAGGATCGCCAACCTCGCAATCATCTCCTATATACAAACCTCCTCCATTACTCTGAATTCGAGATCTTCAGAAAATAGTCAAGTTGATACATACATATTCATCTATTCTGAAAAGTATATTTGATCAGATCATGGCTCACTCAGCTCTCTCTCAGGTTACTTATAAGTTAAATTTTTGCCCTTTTTATTTTTTCCGGACTTACTTTATTTAAGTGGGTGACAAGTCTTTGATTTTATTGTAGGTCCCGGTTGCGGTTCCCATCAATGGCGATTTCTCTATTCGAAGATCCGTGTTTAAGGTCCTTAATAACCCTTTAATAATCTGTGAATTTCGTGTTTGGACGTTCAATTTGGTAGCTTTTATTTGGTTTTCGGATTCAAAGATGATGATTTGTCCATTAAGTTTAGGGATTTTTCATTTTAGTCACGGAACTCTTTGGTTGTTGAATAAATTGAAATGGTGATGTAGCATGAAAAGTATGTCGATGTTTTATTTTTATCGTCCATTTAAGCAAGAATGCATTTTGGTTCACAACTTGTGCTTTCTTTGTATTTTTTTTTTCTGTTCTTTATACATTTTGGAACCACGACTTGACCAACAATGCGCTTTTTTGCCAAGTTGGGTACCAATAAAGTTTGCGTGCCTTCTCATCAGTTTCATAGCTGCATCAGCACTTCTATTAAGTAATTAAAATGTGATGCCTAAACTAAAACTAAAATAATAGTCTAGTGATTGACTTGGAGCTGGAACGAATAAATGTTTGGTGACCAAAGTGAAATCGCTGGTCTGAAAGTGTTTTTAACCGATTTATGTGTACTTTTAGTATGGTTCTAGTCTTAGTTATGCATATATGAAAATCAAGGCCTTGGAGAATAGTTGTCATACTTGCATTTATGAAGATAAATCTAACAATCCTATATTCTTTTAACCTCATTATGTTTCAATTTTTCGAACTTATTTCTTCTGCTTTTTCTTTATGATGCTTTCTTTATTTTCTCTCAACGTTATTTAGCTGAAACTAGAATGGAAATCGAGTTAAATGCATTTTATTGATGTGCAATGTTTCTCATTCCTTCTGATTGCATAGATGATATTATTTTGTTTGTTTTGTGTCTACTATAGCGATCCTTGGAATAATACTACTACTTTCTCATTTAATTTTCAGACAAATAGTTTGACATTTCATGATAAATCATGGACTTCCGCCTCACACATGGACTTGAAAACTGCAAACACTCGATCAAGAAGTCAATTTGTGGTTTGCGTGTCAGTTCAAGAGGTTATCAAACCTAAAGTTGCAGTTCAACCTTTGACATTAGAAGATGTGAAAGAGCCTCCTCTACACCTGTATAAGAACAAGGAGCCATATACTGGAACCATTGTCTCTGTTGAAAGACTCGTTGGCCCAAATTCACCAGGGGAGACGTGTCATGTAGTGATTGATCATGATGGCAATGTGCCCTTTTGGGAAGGACAGAGCTACGGCGTCATTCCTCCTGTATATCTTAAAACCCTCCTATTGCATGTTTATCACATTTTATTGACTAAGGCATGTTTGGCATAGAGAATTGGACAAAGCTCGATTCTAAAATTAACAAGATTTTGGTTTCTTTACTTAATATTGTTCTATCAAATCCGCATTACCCAACATGCCATAAAGGTTTATCATCAAAATTAGGCTATATTATCCAATCCCTTCCTTTGAAATTGGTTTAGGCTCTTGCTAAAATTTTTAACCTTTTATGACCAGTAGGCTGTATAGTGTCACAAAAGACAAGTAATGCCCAAGATATTTTGGCTAATTTTCAACCCAACTAAGCCTTTTTACCAATGAATTTTTGGTTGGCCGCACATATAATTCTTTTGCCATTCCGTTCTATCCAGAGCTATTTCTTTCAGAACATTGTGGATTGTTTTATTTTATGTTGTGTTTTTGAGCCATTCCTATGGTCTGCCTTTTTTCTTGGCATATGAGTACAGTATTATAAATTTATAATGTCGTATCTATACCGAGTTCACGTTTCTCTGAACTTATTTCCTATATTTCATTTCAGGGAGAGAACCCTAAAAAGCCTGGTAGTCCACACAATGTTCGTCTATACTCAATAGCGTCTACCAGGTATGGAGACTATTTTGATGGCAAGACAGCAACTTTGTGTGTTCGGCGTGCAGTCTATTATGATCCTGAGACTGGAAAAGAAGATCCTATGAAAAAAGGTGTATGCAGCAATTTTTTGTGTGATTCGAAGCCCGGAGACAAAGTCCAGATCACAGGTAAGATTTACTTGCTTAGCGAGAGCGACACCAATCGAGATATTTGAAATCCTTTTTGAATTTCAGGGATGATTTTCTTTGATATTGAACTTGATGCATTGAAGGTAATTGCTAGAGCCAATAAGGTTTCAATTAATTGGAATATAGATCTGTTTATCTGATCAACAATCAGACGCTTCAAACTGGGAATTTGCGAAACTATCACATGAATATTTGTCTCATCATTAACCGAGGCTAGCCTTGTCTGGTTAGAAGATTGTCATCTTTCCGTCAATCGATTTTGTTAAGACTTAAGAATTGCTACTTCAGTTATAGGTTATGACCAATGATTTGATCTTGTAATTGCCAGGCCGGCTTTAAACTAGATTATGAGCGTATTTTGCCAGGCTTAAAAGAAATATGTAAAAGTACCTTTCTGAAGACTTGTTTCTGAAAAAGTAAGTTTTTGACTTAAAATATAAAAAAAAGCAACTTAAGACAAAAAAAAGCATGTTTGGCAAAAGAAGTTGTGTAGAAGTAGCTTTATAGCTTAGCAAAATGTGCATCTATATGACGAACGTTTTAATTGATATGATAATTCTTTTTTATGAGGTTCCCTTTTGCTATGTTGCTGATCCGGTGTGACTATTTCGACAGGTCCTTCTGGCAAGATAATGCTTCTGCCTGAAGACGATCTTAGTGCTACCCATATTATGATTGCAACTGGCACTGGCGTGGCTCCTTTCAGAGGCTATCTTCGCCGTATGTTCATGGAGTCTGTTCCCACATTCAAGTTTGGTGGCCTTGCTTGGCTTTTCCTTGGGGTGGCCAACAGGGACAGTCTTCTTTACGACGATGAATTCTCTCAGTATCTTCATGACTACCCAGATAATTTCCGGTACGACTGTGCCCTTAGTCGAGAGCAGAAGAACAAGAGTGGAGGCAAAATGTATGTTCAGGATAAAATTGAAGAGTACAGTGATGAGATTTTCAAACTTTTGGATGGTGGAGCACATATTTATTTCTGTGGGCTTAAGGGAATGATGCCTGGGATTCAAGATACACTGAAAAAGGTAGCAGAGCAAAGAGGGGAAAAATGGGATGAAAAGCTTTCACGACTAAAGAAGAACAAACAATGGCACGTTGAAGTCTATTGACAGGCACTTGTATTCATCTTTACCTGTAGTTGAAGAATAATTTGATTTTTTTTATTTTTATTTTTGCACGAAAACGATTTGAAAGACATGCATTCTTGATATAATTTTGTTGCCCGACTTATAATTATGTTATTTCTTTCTTATATATGTTTGATATATTAGACTAAACCGAGTTGGATTAGAAAAGAATTCAAGGTTAAGAACGTTCTGCGTAACATGATAAATGATTTTTCTATTATATTTTTTAAAATGAAATCCACGAGATCGTATGACGTAAGATTACAGATATTCTATGTGATACACGATCATTTCGTACAATAATTTTTGCGATTCTGTTTATTAAAGATGATTTGCAAAGCTGAATATGTCAACATTGGCCTATAACTTGTGAAATGTGTGCCACCGTCATCCTTAGCTGATAAAAAAGGTCAAGTTTAAAATATTGATTTTTAACTGTTGAATTGATGTTTTTGTTTTCATAAGTTAGGAACTGTCACAAATGGAAGGTTCACGATTTCGTCATCAAAAGACTCATACTTTAGGATGAATCCCTCTAATGATTCCCAATATTTTGCAAGGGTGAATGAATCTCAGAAACTCCTAAATTTACAAGGTAACAATTACTCACTCTCTTTTCTCAGATTTTCAATCAATTCAGCTGAAAATTAAATGTACATATCAATCCGAATTCATAATTGTTAGTGGTTACCCCACACACACACACACACACAGATATATATATATATTACTACTATATAAAAAGGGCAATGTTTCACTACTGTAGAAAGAACAGTAGATTCTCCCATTTTGTCTCATTGTAGAGCCCTTTTTTTTTATCGAGAAAAAGCAACGACGTCATTTATCTTACGTGTTTGATATAGTGATTTTGTTGCTTTTTCTCAATTAACATGGCATGAAGGATTATGTCATAGAGCCCTATTTACTCTTTCTCCATTTTTACACGTTACAGTCATGCCTCTCTATTTCTCCACACTAATTCAAGAGCAAAAGTGTGAATTCCATAAATATATGATTAAAAATATGTTTAAGGAAAAAATAAATTTTAAAAAATAAAGACCAAACATGTTAACAAATGAATATATTTATTTTTTGAAAAATAAGTTTTTATTACTATTTCATTTTTATCGTGAAATGATTCTAATTTTAATATGTTAGATTGTGCGTCAAAATTACATAATCTATCAAATATAATTTTTAAAATTAATTTTTATAAAGTAATATATTTTTATGAATTTTTTTTAATAAAGTAAACGAAGGCTCGTGTTGAGACCTCCATAATTATGGAGGCCTTATGGAGGCCTCCGTAATTCTGGAGGCTCAAGCATGAGCCTCCGGAAGGCCTCCATAATTAACATGGAGGTCTCTATAATTATGGATGCTTTCATGTTGAGCCTCCATAACATTTTATTTTTTAAAATTAATAAAAATTTAATTATTTTATATTTTTTAGT